CCTAGAAAAATGAGACCGCACAAGGTTCTGGCAAAAACTAACCCTCGGCTTCAAATTCACTATAGAAAGCAACACCTTCTCACCACAAATTAAATAAGTAGATTGGAGCTTCAAGGTTCGGAAAGTTCTTAAAAAACTACCTTAGCATACCCGGTCCTATAATCACCGAACATACGCTCAAACCGTGCAAACCATTATCATTTAGGAACGGTAATATCCATAAATGCAAGTCCGAAAAGCTACGAAGTCCAAAGCGAAAGCAAATACAAGATACAAACAAAACTTTTCCTCAAATGAAAATCTTTTTGTATTTTAAAACGATATATAAATTCAAAAGAAAAGGAAAATGAAAAGAAGAGAAATGAAAAAGAGAGAAGGAGAAGGTAAAAGGTGTAAGCTGAAACAAATAAACCCCAATCGACAAACAATAGCCATTTGACAACAACGCCAATGGCCCCAAACACCCTCAAGGTGCTAATAGCATACAACCTCGAACCGTTCAACTTCTCCTAGTATAGAGCTAAACTATTCACACAAGAAAAATAAAAGGAGAAAAGAGGGAAGAAAATAGAAAGGTCTCACCGAGCGATCCCGAGCTAAAAGAACAAATGTGATAACAAGGAAACTCTCACCATTTCCATGTGAAATATGCTCCAACAAAGGACCTAGAATGTATGACAAGAAAAGGAGAAAGAGAAAGACTACACAAAATAGAAAGTTAGTAACTTCATGAAAAATAAAATAAAGAGAAGAAATAAAAGAAAGAAAGCGATGCTAAACTAAACAAATTTGGATTTAAAGAGATTTGGATTAATGGGATTCAATGGGATAGTAAAACTCAACAACTAATAAAACAATCAACCTCAAGAAACAACATCATCAACCAACCAACCATCAAACAATCACCAACTAATCAAAAGCTCATAAAAATAGCCAAAGTGAACCATAAAAGCAAGGGGAAAAGAAATGAAGCACCATCAAAACAAGTAAATAGTACCCCAAGCTTGTAATAAGCTACCCCCCCAAGCTCAAATCCTAACATCAAGTAGGCGTAATAAGCAGTACCAAAGTAAAACAAGAAAGTAAGGGGGGTAGCTAAGAAGGAATCACTCGGCACTATGGTAAGGAGTAGAATGGGTACTCCCCTCACTGGTCTCCGAAAATACACGACTAGAGCTCATAATATCACCCTCCTCCATCGGTGCCTTGCCCCTCAAACTACTCTCTCTCCTAGCCTTTTCCTCCGTAAAGAAATGCGACCAATCATCCAAAATAGGTTCACCAGAAAGCCCCCACCTACCAAAGGTCTCAGGGTTAGGGAAGAGCTTAGGGTTGGACGGGTCATAGTCAAAGTCGCATCCCCCGGGCTACTTGTAGTCATAAGTAGCCAAGGTGGTCCCAAGAATAGCATTAGGATGCAAATGAGGCCCCTCCCAATATGGATAACAAAGAGATGGTCCATGGTTGGGATCATAGGGAACCTATTGAGGAATAGGTCCTTGTTATACCGGGAGATAAGGGTAGTTCAAATAGGGTTGAATCTCGCCTTCCTAAGATGAAACTCATAAACCTGACGGGCATGATAATCATAGCCAAGAACAAAATCATGTCTAACAGTAGAAGACAAGACATTAGTAATAGAGTCAATCTTGGCATGTAAACTATGCAAGTTAAGTTGGGAAGGAGAAGAAGAAAAGGAAGAAAGAGTAGGATTACCTCCCCGAGATTTCGGGGGCAAAGCTTGAAATTGAGTATGATTAGGAGCATCCGGATTGTGATGAAAATTTGGTGGAGGAGATCTTTTGAGAGCCGGACCAACGGGACACTTAGGAGGTCACCAAGGAAGGATAGTGTTCAAGCGTCGAGCGGTAGCTTCCGGGTGAGGAATAATGAACCAATCGATCATCCTAGAAACCCCAAATGTAAACATCGCTCTTCGAAGTACGCTCCAAAAAATTTTGGTTTATCAAAGCATACTCATTAAGAAGATGGGAAAAAGGTCTTCTCACGACGATCACGAATAGGTGCAAGCGCAACAAGCATGCGATCGTATTTCTTATTAAGAGAGAGAGAGCAATAATCATGATCAAACCACCAAGTTGTATGCTCCCAAAAAGAAAAACACCATCACGAATATCGATGAAGCGATCTAGCAAGTGCTCTCCAAAATCGATGCCTCGATCTAACTAAAAGGTCGGTCCGCCAACCATAGCCAACTTAACTTCTCACGAGATATAGCACCAAGAGACTCCTTGGAGAAGAAGGCATATGTAAGCAAGCGATTGAAATATCTCAAAGCGGGATGAATGATGGAGGCCGCCTTTGAGTATTGAGGTCTATAACTACCCTCAACCGAAATATGCCTCCATCATCAACGCTCCTTATAACCATAATCGCTTAGCAATGGGTCGAAAACCGGATAGATATACTCCTTATCATCCACCAGAGAAGGGAACTTGAATATCTCATTGATGAAAGAAATCGGAACCACATGGTCATTGTTAAAGATTTGAAAGGAGAGAGTTCGAACGGTGATGCCATTCTCTTCAGTTTCATGAATCTCAAGTGAGGAAAGGAACTTGAAGGTTAATCAGGAATAGGTAGGGGAATTTAGACCAATGAAATCTTATAAGCCCAAGTTACTAGCCAACCGCCAAACATCCTCATCAATTCCAAGCTTGGATGTGGTTGAAGCATCATAAAATCGTGTTGAAAATAGCTTTCTTGAAGAGAGTCGTACAAAGTTATCCCAATGCTTTTGCTTTGTGAATTCAATCTCATAGGTCTCACTAATATTTGAGGGAGGTGGTAGAACCACTCTAGAAGAGGAACTAAGTGAACCACGGGTTCTCTTAGGACGACGGAGTGGTTCCATCTACAACACAAGAATTCAAGAGTTCAAATCAATGGAATGTGGCTCAAAGAATATTATTGAAGAACTAGTAATAACCAATAGCCAAGAGCAAAGATGAAATGAGCAAGTTTAAGCACAACAAATATAGAGGCTCATTCAACCAAATAACGATGGAAAGAAGTTATAAATCATCAAGCACAATTCTAAAAGCAACATTTTTCCAATCAAAGGTGAAGTGAGAAATAAAACTACTAATCATACTCAAAGAAAAAGAAAATGACCAACAATGGTAGTACCAAAATTGCAAACAATTAAGCAAAATCATGATAACAAAGCTTCAAACAATCATCAATAGTCATCAAACACACAAAGTAGAGGGCAATGAAACAAACAAAATGGAACCACTATTAAAGCATAAACTAAGGATTTCTAGGTAAAAGGTAGAGTAAGAGAAATCAAATAATCATAGAAATCATACCTTAAGTGATTAGAAAACCCTTAGTGAAGTGAAATAATGATACATATAACAAGTATAGACTCCAAATGTAAGTTCCAAACCCTCAAATAAAGGTACCTAAAAATCCTAAATTTAGGAGAGAGAAATCAAAAATAGAACATGAAATTGGGGATTATGGAATTGTAGACTAAGTGAATTAGTGATTAAGAGTGATGATGTGATAAAATGAAGCAATAAAAATCATGAAATTAAGTGAAGTAAGAATAGAGGAATAGAGAAGAGAGATAAAGAGTGAAAGAAAAGAGAGGATGCACGACTTAAAGGGGCGAACAGCAGCGCTACGCGCCTGCGCCAGCATCGTGCGCGCTCGCACAGACCTATGTCGCGCGCGGTGCAAGCAGCTCGTGGGTTCATCGATGGGCAGAAGGATCTAGCTCATCCCGGGATTGTTATACCCACTAAACATGGAAGTTTTGAAACTACTTGACGGTGGGTTCAACATCCCAAATTCATGAGATCGCCATGTTGTACCCACCAAGATTCAATTCCGACTCTAATCTTCAAACTAAGTATACAAACTCTCCAATCTCAAAATGGCACTAAGATTGTTGGCAATCAAACTTTCTTCAACCCGCAAGTACCTAAAATCAAGAAAATAAGAAATAAATGAATTAAACAAAAAAAACAAGGAAGAAAAACGAACAAAAATCAAAGAAAAATGAGATTGAAGGTTAAAAATTCGGGTTACCTCCCGAAAAGCGCTCGTTTAATGTCATTAGCTTGACATTTTCCACCCTTTCAAGGTGGATGATAGAGAGACATCTTGTGAACAAGGCCAACAAAAACGCCATCGTAATAGCGTTTAAGTCTATGGCCATTGACTTTGAATGAACTTGAGGAATCCAAAGGAACAATTTCAACAACTCCATTAGGGAAAACCTCTTGAACAATGAATGGTCCGCTCCAACGGGACATAAGTTTCCCGGGGAATAACATAGAGGACAACTTTGTCACCAACGTTGAATTCTTTCTTCACAATGAGCTTGTCACGCACCTCCTTTGATCAGGATTTTTAAAGGCTAGCACAATCGTAGGCATCCAAGAGAAGCTCTTCTAACTCATGGAGGTCAAGCCACCGTTGTTCTCCCGCACTAGCTAAATTGAAGTTGATCTTCTTAATAGCCCAATAAGTGCGATGCTCAAGCTCCATTGGAAGGTGACAAGATTTTCCATAAACTAAGCGATAAGGAGTGGTGCCTATGGGAGTCTTAAAAGCCATTCTATAGGCCCATAAAACATCATCAAGCTTGTTTGATCAATATTTCCTATTCCTAGCAACCACCTTTTCAAGTATTAATTTGATTTGACGATTAGACACCTCAACTTGTCCACTAGTTTGAGGATGATATGGAAGACCAAAGCGTTGATGAACTCCATGCTTCTTCAACATCATTTGAAAGGCATTGTTCACAAAATGTGAACCATTATCACTAATCACCGCCTTAGGAACACCAAACATTGGGAATATGATCTTCTTGAACAATTTCATTACCACCTTGTGGTCATTTGTTGGGGAGGCAATGGCTTCAACCCATTTTGACACATAATCCTCCGCCACAAGAATTTATTGATTCCCATAAGACGAAGGAAATGGTCCCATGAAGTTAATTCCCCACACATCAAACACCTCTAACTCAAGGATAGGTTGTTGAGGCATTTCATTCCTGTTTGAGATGTTTCTGGTTCGTTGACATCGATCACATGTCTTAACAAAATTAAACCCCATGTATTCTTGAAGAGATACAGCCACCATAAACCACATTGGAGAATCTTAGAAGCGGTTTTAGAGACACCCATATGACCACCACTAGGATCCGAGTGGCACATCTTCAAAACATTTGGCACCTCTTCATTTGGGACACAACGCCTTAGCAAGCCATCAACCCTACATTTGTACAAGATAGGGTCATCCCACAAATAGTGCCTAGCCTCTCTTTTGAGCTTCCTCCTTTGATTCGTAGAGAATGAGGGTGGAAACTCCCCACATGCAAGGTAGTTGACCAAATCGGCAAACCAAGGGAGCTCCATCATATTAATGGCATACAAGGAGTCATCGAGCATCCTATCTTCAATAGGAAAGCCATCATCGGGAATTTGGAAATCCTCAAGGCGAGAGAGACAATCCGCCACTACATTTTTCGCTCCTTTCTTGTCTCTAATCTCTACATCAAAGGTTTGAAGTTCAAGCACCCAACGGATTAACCTAGGCTTCGATTCCTTTTTAGATATAAGGTAATTGAGAGCTGCATGGTCCGTGAAGACAATAGTTTTGGAACCCAACAAGTAGTTACGGGACTTCTCAATTGCATGAACTATAGCCAAAACTTCTTTCTCCGTTGTTATGTAGTTTCATTGAGCACCACTTAGAGTCTTGGACATATAATACATGACATGAAGCCTCTTTTCCACTCTTTGACCCAAAACACCTCCTATAGCGGTATCACTTACATCACCCATCAACTCAAATGGCAACTCCCATCTTGGAGCTTGGACAATAGGGGTAGAGATCAAAGCATTCTTAAATTTGTTGTAGGCTTCCAAGCATCTATCATCAAAATTGAACTCGACGTCTTTTTGGAGAAGATCGTTAAGGGGCTTTGCTATGAGAGAGAAATCCTTTATGAACCTCCTATAAAACCCCGCATGTCCCAAGAAAGACCTCACACCCTTCACATTAACCGGAGGTGGTAACTTCTCGATGACCTCAATCTTTGCTTTGTCCACCTCAATACCCTTATGAGAGATCTTGTGGCCAAGGACTATACCTTCCTCAACCATGAAATGGCACTTCTCCCAATTCAAGACCAAGTTCACCTTTTCACAATGAGCTAAACACCTTTCAAGGTTCACAAGATAATCCTCAAATGAAACACCAACCATCGAGAAGTCATCCATAAACACTTCCATCTCCTCCTCCAACATGTCTCCGAATATGCCCATCATGCAACGTTGGAAGGTGGCGAGGGCGTTGCAAAGCCTAATTGAACCTCCTATAAGCAAAAGTTCCATATGGACAAGTAAAAGATGTTTTCTCTTGGTCATCCGGGTGAATGGGAATTTGGATAAATCCGGAATAACCATCAAGAAAGCAATAATACTTATGCCTTGTTAACCTCTCTAGCATTTGATATATAAAGGGAAGGGGGAAATGGTCCTTTTTGGTGGATGTGTTTAGACGTCGGTAGTCTATGCACATACGCCATCCCGTGACCGTCCTTGTAGGGATGAGTTCTCCTCTCTAATTCTCTACAACGGTCAGGCCTCCTTTCTTTGGGACAACGTGAATCGGGGAAACCCACCTAGAGCTAGAGAAGGGGAAAATAATTCCCGCATCCAATAGCTTAGTGATTTCCTTCTTAACTACCTCCCCCAATTGAGGGTGTAGCTTTTGTTGCCTTTCAATGCTTGGTGAGGCACCATCCTCAAGAGTAATATGGTGCATACATAAAGTGGGGCTTATACCCTTGAGGTCATCAATGGTATAGCCTAAAGCACCTTGGTGTCTTCTCAATACACCACATAACTCTTGAGCTTGGCTCTCACTCAAGGAGGAGCTAACAATCACGGGAAAAGTAGAGTTAGGACCTAAGAATTCATACCTAAGGTGTGATGGTAGAGGTTTGAGCTCTACCATGGGAACACCTTTCCCTTCCTTTGTCGAGGCCAATTGCAATGCATCTTGAATTGTAATTCCCATGCAAATATGGGCATCACTCTCTTCCATGCTCCCATCAATGAACATCTCAAATAATACCAATTCCTTGCCGTGATCACCTATGTTTTCCTTGTTCAACAAAACACACTCAAGAGGATCATTAGATGTGAGCAAGTGCTCATGCATGGAATTCACAATGTTGTCTATATTTTCAACTCTCATGCAATTCTTAAGTGAAGAAGAGTGGTATTTCATGCTTTCATTCAAGTCAAATTCAATAACCTCTTCTCCTACTATATGTGAAATCTTAGCACTCTTTACATCACTCGTGGCACCCGAGGTAGCAAGAAAAGGTCTAGAAAGTATGATGGGAATGTTAGCATCTTCATCCATTTCAAGAACCACAAAATTAATTGGAATCACAAACTTTCCTACTCTCAAAGGAACATCCACTACCTTAGCCTTTGGAATCTTAATTGATCTATCGGCTAATTGCAAGGTAATGTTGGTAGGAAAAAGTTCCCCTAACTCAACTCTTTGATAAACCGAATATGGCATAAGGCTAACACTAGCTTCTAAGTCACACAAGGCATTATAAATTTGCATCTTATAAATGGCACAAGGGAAAGAAAAGTTTCCAGGGTCTTTCAACTTAGGTGGCATCTTGTTCATGATGATTGCACTACAATTTTCGGTTAAGTTAACTGTTTCCACCGCATCACAAGTCCTTCTTCCACTCAAAATGTCTTTTAGGAACTTAACATAATTCGGCAATTGGTCAATAACATCGGTGAATGGGAGGGTAAGATGAAGTTACCTAAGTATCTCAATAAATTTCCCAAATTGTTCATCCAATTTGTGCCTCATTAATTTTTGGGGGTAAGGGAGCTTGGGTTTCACAACTTCCTTTTCTTTCTCTTTTTCACATGGTTTCTCATCTACAACCTCACTCTAAGGCTCTCTATCTCCTTCATCATCAACCGAAATATCACTTAACCTTTCCTTATCTAAACTCCTCTTAGGAAAATTATCCTTAAGAATCCTTCTACTTGTCACAATAGCATTCATGGGTCTCTTAGGATCTAAACCTTGAGGAGGTAAAGAAGAAGGGCTTGCTTGTTCTTTCAAGGCATTAGCTAGTTGGAAATTTGGCTCTCAAACACTTTATTATGTGTCATCATTTCATTGAATTTCTTATCACTAGCCGACATGTAAGTGTTCAACAACTTGGTTTGAATTTCGATGATTTCCTCCAAATTAGAACTAGAAGACGAAGGTTGAGCATAGGGATTATCACCTTGACCTGGGGTCTTTGGAACAAAACCGGGTGGGGGACCCCTTTGAGCATTGTTTTGAAAGTTACTCTTATTTTGATTTTGGCCATAGCTTTGATTATGGTTACCATAACCTTGATTATGATGACCATAACCTTGGCTTTGATTTCAGCTACTATAACCTTGATTGTTATAGTTACCTCGGAAACCTTGGTTTCCTTGGTTCCTATAACCACCACCTTGGCTATAGTTGACAAAATTGCCTTGGTTGTGATGATTCCTATTCCATTGGCCTCTTTGATTATCAAACCTTGGACCATTGTTATTATTAGACACATAATTCACATGCTCATTCTCATACTATCAAAATCATCATATCCATTCGAAAAAAACATGAGGGCAATTAAAAGTGATTAGGGGATTTTGCTCCCACCAATCGGAATGCGCCACGTGGGCCAGTCAGGTCCTGCCAAGTGTCCCCCAGTTGGACCTCTCAGGGCTTGCCACGTGGCACACACTTATTCGTCCACCCTGGACCTATTATGTCATGACACGTGGCATACTCCATGCCTAATGGAGAAGTCGGCCACCTAGGCCCAACTTCCGAGGGAAGCCCAATCAGCCGTGGTTAACCTAAACCTAGGATTGGCACGTTTCCCGGGGTTATAAATACCCCCCTTAATCCTCATTAAGGGGGATTACGCAGATTACACACATTAAACACTCTCACCTAGAGAGACCCAATCACTTTAATTTCCGCATTAATTACTCCTTAATCAAGTACTAACTTGACCGTCGGAGGCGGATCTCCAATCATCCGGAGCATCCATTTGTTTTGCAGGTACAGGCTTCCGGTTCCAGTCTCGGAATTGTAACTCTCCCGCAGGACATCAGAAAACCCCGAAACATTTTGGCGCCGTCTGTGGGGAGAGTACTTCTGAGATGGCATCCACGTTTGTACCGGCTCCTGAAGAGAGACGTCCCCTGGACGACCCTCTAGTTCAGTCGGACCACGATACTGAGAATGAATTTGAAGTTGAAGCTCACACAGCTTCAGACGGGACCCTAAGGGCCCGACGTACCCGTCATACCGAAAGGAGGGAACGAGAACATCTTCAAACTGGAAGTGAGCCAGCAGGCGCACCGCCTGTTCGGCAGCAGCCGACTGATGGGTCTGCTCCCATCACAAGGAACGAACTCATGACCTTCATGAGGGACTTCAAGGGAGAAATTCAAGAGTTGATCAACAAGAAGCCGCCTGCTCTGGACAAGGAGCAGTCGGCTAAGAAACCCTCCACTTCACGGAAGAGGAAGCCAGTTCAAGGGCGAGAGGCGACCCCTCATCCTAAATCTAGGAAGTGGGAGCCGCCTGCCCTTGATTTCACAAAATACCGTTTTCCTACTCCAGGAAAGAGGAAACCTGTTCGTCATATTCAGGCGGACGGGTCGAGGAAAACATACACAGATGCTCGGCTACAGCTAGAGCAGAAGAAGAGTGACCGATTGTCAGAGTCGGCCTCTAATTCAAACTTCCAAGACAGTCTGCGAAATACCTCGATGAGGCATACTCAGTCGTATCATGAGAGTCAGTCAGGCGGCACCTCCCGTCAGTCCGACTTTCATAGCGACCAGGCGGTACCAAACTTACCGTTTGTACCGCAACAATAGTATTTTTTGCAGCCACCTCCGTTTGGTGGACATGCAGCAAAAAATGTCCAACCTATGGACTGACAGCTACGGTTGCTTAGACTTGGCGAACAGCCGTCGGCCTTCTCCAAGGAAATTACTGAAGCCGCTCAGCCGGCCAAAGTGAAAAATGTATTAGTAGGCGCCTATGATGGCGCTACTAACCCAGAAGACCATCTGATGGCATTCACCAACCTGATGTACCTTCAAGGGTTGGATGATCCCACTTGGTGCAAGTGTTTCCCAGCGACTCTCAAAGGAATCGCACAACAATAATTCGACAACCTGCCGCCTAGTTGTGTAAATAACTTCAGGACGCTTGCTTACTTATTCACCTCCAACTTCGCCATGAACATTCCTGCGAAGAAGACGACCCTTGATTTAGGAACGATTCAGCAGGGCGAGAAGGAGGGGCTTCGTTCTTACATCAGGCGGTTTAACCTGATGAGAATACAGATTCAAGGGTTATCGAATGAAGTAGCCTATACTGACTTTTTCAGAGGTCTCAAAGACGGGTCGACCTTCAAATTTGATTTGGTCCGAAAGAGGGTGGCGACTCTTCAAGAGGCCTTGATTGAAGCGGAAGCCTATATACAGGCGACTGATCTTTGTAGTATGGTAAAACAGTCAGACGGGAAAAGGTCCGACAAAAGAGAAGGACGACAGAAACAGTCGTCAAACAAAGATGAGAAAAGAAAAGAGGTATGGGCGGCTGATTCCTCTAAACAGCCGGCCCAGAAGAAGAAAAAAGAATTCAAACCATACTCCCCAAAGTATGCGTTTAACAAGGATAGCCAATTTATCCTAAAGGAAATCAAGGGACGGATCTCAATTGAGAAGCCGGTCCCCATGAAGGGTTCTGCAAACAATCGGAACCAAGAAAAATTCTGTGATTATCATGAAGATGTTGGTCATCACACCAATGAATGCATCAGTCTCATGCGGTATCTGGACCGTCTGGCTGAGCAAGGTGATCTTGACACTTATGTCAAGAAATCTACGGGGAACACTTCCTCGAAAAAGCAGTCGACCAAAAAGAATCAACAGGCCAACAGCTTCGATACAGATGATGCAGTCGTCTACACCATTGCAGGCGACTTCTCAGGAGGCGGCCCCACTATTAGGGGCAACAAAGACAATATCAGACGACTAGATGTAAATTCCGTTCACCAAGAACGGCCCTCCAAATATTCATTTCCTGAGATTGTCATCACTGAAGTAGATCTAGGAGGGGTAAGAGGGCCGCATGACGACCCTATCGTTATTGAATGTAAAGTGGCCAACCAGAGAGTTGGCCGAATCCTCATAGATACCGGAAGCTCCTCAGATCTTATTAGTAGCAAATGTCTGTCGAAACTAAAATATCAGACTGATTGCATACATCCGGCATCCCACCCTTTAGTAGGGTTTGGAGGAGGAGTCGTTCACCCAGTGGGACGAGTAGATTTACCCATCCGGCTGGGTGAAAAAGGGGAAGGACGACACATGGTAGTCCGGTTCCTGGTAGTAGAAGAACTCTCGGCCCACAACATGATTCTGGGACGACCAACCCTGAATAATTCCAAGGCTGTTATAATCCCATCTCTTATGTTGCTCAAGTTTGAGAGGGATAATGGAACAGTCGGGTCCCTAAGGGGAGATCAGAGGATGGCCCGAGAGTGCTATCTCTCGGATGTCAAGCCCACTGTTATGGCCGCTGGGTCGAGTGGTGGAAAAATAGACCTTGACAATGTCAAGGAGAGTGCGCCTACTCAAGAAGCAGGCGGCAAAAAGAGAAAGGCATCCCAGACGGGGGTCGCAAGAAAAGACAGAAAATAGCAATCATTGGCAGAGGAGCGGTTGGATGAATTCCGCCCTCAGCCAGTTGGTGAGCATACGGACCTGATCTTAGATGACTCGCGTCCTGACAGAACAGTCAAAGTTGGGACGTCTGCTCTAAGGGTCCTGGGTGACGACTTTCACAAACTATTGAAAGAATACAAGGACATCTTTGCATTCGAAGTCCATGAAATGCCAGGCATCAGTCATGATCTGGCGGTACATAAACTGGCCGTGGATCCAAAAAAGAAGCCGGTAAGGCAGAAGAAGCGGAACCATGGCGAAGAAAGAAGTCAGGCGGCAGCCGCCGAAGTTAAAAAATTACTTGATGCAGGGTTCATCCGGCAATGTTACTTCCCAGACTGGGTTGCAAATGTGGTGCTTGTTAAAAAGCCGAATGGCACCTGGCAAATGTGTGTAGACTACACAGACTTAAACAAGGCGTGCCCCAAAGACAGTTACCCTCTGCCTAAAATTGATAACCTGGTCGACTCACCATCCGGCCATGATTTGATGAGCTTTATGGACGCCTACTCTGGTTTCCATCAAATTCCTTTATGGAAGAAAGATCAGGAGAAGACGGCCTTCGTCACTGATCAAGGGTTATACTGTTACACGGTCATGCCGTTTGGTCTTAAGAATTCCCCGGCCACTTTCTAGAGAATGATAAAAACTGTGTTCTTTGATCAGATTGGGAGAAATGTCGAGGCATATATTGATGATATGATTGTCAAGTCTAAACTTCAGAAAGATCATCTGTCGGACCTCCGAGAAACTTTCGCCACACTCAGGCGGCACCATGTCATGCTCAATCCCAAGAAATGTGTCTTTGGAGTTGAGTCTGGGAAATTTCTCGGATTCCTTATCAATCAGAGAGGAATAGAG